GGAACATAAGATAACAACCTAATTTAGATTTGGTGATGTGAAACTTTATTATGGGTGACTCCATTTATATTTTTAGTCTGATCTATGGTGGCCTAGTGCAGGAATTTAGTCTGAAGCAATGGCCTCCTATAATTTTTATTTAACCTGAAGCACTGAGCTGGATTCAAGAGATTCATTGGTGAAAAAATGAGAAAAGCCTATGGCTTCATAGAGCTTAGGGAAAAGTAGAGAGAGAAATATTAAGCAGCTTTACAAACTGAGGTATGTTCTCTAATGGTGTTATGAGAGTATAACACAGAGACCTAATTGAGATTGGGAGTGGATGGCAGGTAAGACCTCTGTAAAGCAGTAATATTTCAGCTAAGACCTGAGAGGTGAGTAGCAGTTAGCCCAGCTCAGAATGAGAGGAGGGACATTACAAGTTTAAGTTGAGAGAATTGTATATATGAAGGTCCTGAAGTAGAAAAGAACTTGGCATATTCATGTTTGAGGAATAAAGAGACCACTGTGGATGACTATTAATGTCCAAGAATGAAAGAAACGTAAGGTGAGATTGGTGAGATAAGCAAAGGCTTGATAAATTATGGTAAGGAAATTAGATTTTTTAAAATCCTAAATACGATGGGCTGTTATTGGGATGTTAGTAAGAGTAGAAGATAAGATTATATTAGTGATAAAATTACATTGATTTGAGATTAGATCTTACAAAAAGATCACTGGTTGCTTAGTAGAAAATGATACTTTAACTCAATATCTATCAGATATTGTGATAAAATATTCTGATAGCTTAGACAGGTAAAGGCTGTGTGGGGAAAAGAAATAGACAAATTTGAGATATTTGGGAGGTAAGATTGACAAAACTTGGTAGTGAATTAAATTTGGGGCATGAGAGATAAGATATAAGATACAGTGTACTCGTCTCCCTATTTGAGTCATTTCCTTATGGTACTAAATAATGTCAGCAGTCATTGCCTCAACAAATCTCCTTAACATATTCTGCTCGAGTTCTATACTGATTGTGTATGATTTGAAGCTCTGTTCCTAATAAATCACAATATTTCATTTAATGCTTCTTGACTTGTCTATTAATGTTACCTGCTTTCTTTAAAAATTAAATATAAGCCGGGCGCGGTGGCTCACGCCTGTAATCCCAGCACCTTGGGAGGCTGAGGCAGGTGGATCAAGAGGTCAAGAGATTGAGACCATCCTGGTCAACATGGTGAAACCCCGTCTCTACTAAAAATACAAAAAATTAGCTGGGCATGGTGGCGCGTGCCTGTAATCCCAGCTACTCAGGAGGCTGAGGCAGGAGAATTGCCTGAACCCAGGAGGCGGAGGTTGTGGTGAGCCCAGCTTGCACCATTGCACCCCAGCCTGGGTAACAAGAGTGAAACTCCATCTCAAAAAAAAAAAATTAAATATAAAAAGATAACTGAACACAATATATCATGATCAATGAAATTACAACAGAAAGATATAGTCAGGCATGGTGGCTCATGCCTGCACTCACCATTTTGGGAGGCCAAGGCAGGTGGATGGCTTGGTCCCAGGAGCTCAAGACCACCCTAGGCAACATGGTGAGATCCCATCTCTACAAAAAATAGAAAAAAAATTAGCCAGGTGTGGTAGTGCATGCCTATAGAACCAGCTACTCAGGAGGCTGAGGTGGGAGATTCACTTGCGCCTGGGAGGTTGTGGCTGCAGTGAGCCGGGAACTATGCCATAGAAAGATATTACAAAACATACTGACATTGGAACTGATGTGCAAAAGCAATGATGGGTGAAATAGTCAGTCCCTTAGCATGAAGGCAGTGGTACCAAACTGTACTAATATTCATTGTATTCTTCATTCCCACACGCTTGCAGTAAAAATGAAAAGCCAGTTTCACTTAAGACACTTAAGACTATCCTTGATGAAGCAATTGCTCTTTCTATGCTCATTTTGTCACAGAAAATACAAAAACTATGTGTACTTAATGCTCAGAATTTTATAAAGAGCAAGGACTAATGCTGCATCCTAAACGACAATGGTAGTCTTAATTTAAAAAAAAAAAAAAGTGCATTTGAGCTGTGAACTGACCCAGCAACTTTATTCAGAAAATGACTTAAATATATATATATATATATATATATATATATATATATATATATTTATATATATTTGCATTTTAGGTTCTGGGGTACATGTGAAGAACATGCAGGATTGTTGCATAGGTATATACATGGCAATGTGGTTTACTTCCTCCATCCCCATCACCTGTATCTGGCATTTCTCCCCATGCTATCCCTCCCCAACTCCCTACCCCCCACTGTCCCTCCCCTAATCCCACCTCCACAGACCTCAGTGTGTGATGCTCCCCTCCCTGTGTCCATGTGTTCTCATTGTTCAACACCCGCCTATGAGGGAGAACATGCAGTGTTTGATTTTCTGCTCTTGTGTCAGTTTGCTGAGAATGATGGTTTCAAGGTTCATCCATGTCTCTACAAAGGACATGAACTCATCGTTTTTTAATGGCTGCATAGTATTCCATGGTGTATATGTGCCACATTTTCCCTGTCCAGTCTATCATCGATGGGCATTTGGGTTGGTTCCAAGTCTTCGCTATTGTAAACAGTGCTGCAGCGAACATACATGTGCATGTGTCCTTATAATAGAACTATTTATAATCCTTTGGATATATACCCAGTAATGGGATTGCTGGGTCAAGTGGGATTTTTATTTTTAGGTCCTTGAGGAATCGCCACACTGTCTTCCACAATGGTTGCACTAATTTACACTCCCACCAACAATGTAGAAGTGTTCCTATTTCTCCATATCCTCTCCAACATCTGTTGTCTCCAGATTTTTAATGATCGCCATTTTAACTGGCGTGAGATGGTAGCTCAATGTGGTTTTGATTTGCATTTCTCTAATGACCAGTAATGATGAGCATTTTTTTCATATGTTTGTTGGCCTCATATATGCCTTCTTTTGAAAAGTGTCTGTTCATATCCTTTGCCCACTTTTGCATGGATTTGTCTTTTTCTTGTAAATCTGTTTTAGTTCTTTGTGGATTTGGTATATAAGTCCTTTGTCAGTTAGGTAGATTGCAAAAATTTTTTCCCATTCTGTTGGTCAGAAAATGACATTTTTACATAAAAGAAGTGATAAACAGGGGGGTGGGGCTAAAAAAAAGGAAGTGATAAACTACAACAATTCAGACATGGGTATTTGGCATATTTTTGCAAAAATAAATAGAGTAAGCCAATAATAAAATTTAAGCTTCTTTTTTTTTTAATTTTTAATTTTTCACCTGGGTGCAGGTGGGCTGAGGCTGAAAAGGGCATCAGCAAAATTTAAGCTTCTAAGTGAAAATTAGAAATTTAAAAAACTTGTATCCACCATGGTGAGTATGACAACTTTCCAATACTTAATGTATGTGAGTTTTTTAATGTTATTTAATGAAATGTGTTAACATTTTAAAGATCTGTATAGGCTGGTCTGAGTGCAGTGGTGTTTACAACTAATTGATCACAACCAGCTACAGATTTCTTTGTTCCTTCTCCACTCCCACTGCTTCACTAGACTAGCCTTTAAAAAATAAATAAATAAATAACAAATAAATAAATAAATAAATAAAATAAAGATCTGTATAAGTCAGCAATTATTTTGATGAAGACATAAAGTTACAAAATTATGTGTAGGTGAAAGATCTATTCAAAGTACAAGATTTTAATGTAAGGAGTACAAAATATTTACTGATAGGCTTTCATATTCTGCACTGTAACTAATCTTTAAGAAACTACCACTTGTGCCGGGCACGGTGGCTCACGCCTGTAATCCCAGCACTTTGGGAGGCCGAGGCGGGTGGATCACGAGGTCAAGAGATCGAGACCATCCTGGTCAACGTGGTGAAACCCCGTCTCTACTAAAAATACAAAAAATCAGCTGGGCATGGTGGCGCGTGCTTGTAGTCCCAGCTACTCAGGAGGCTGAGACAGGAGAATTGCCTGAATCGAGGAGGCGGAGGTTGCAGTGAGCCGAGATCGCGCCATTGCACTCCAGCCTGGGTAACAAGAGTGAAACTCCGTCTCAGAAAAAAAAAAAAAGAAACTACCACTTGTTGGGAGTTTGATGTTGGGTACACAGGGACATAAAGACGGGAACAACAGACAGTGGAGACTACCAGAGGGGGCAGCAGGGAGCGTAGAAAGGGTTGAAAAACTATCAGATACCATGCTCACTACCTTTGTGATGGATTAAGTTTTAACCTAAACCTCAGCATCATGCGCTATACCCATGTAACAAACCTGCACATGTACGCACTGAGTTTAAAACAAAAGTTGAAATTTTAGAAACAACCACTTGTTGACTTTTATTGTAGTGTTGACAATTATCTGAAAAAGCTATTAAAATACTCTTTTTACCAATTACATAGATATATATGAAGCCAGATTATCTTCATATACTACAACCAAAAGAGAATAGTGTATATAAGAATCCAGCTGTCTTTTATTAAGCCAAAGTATAAGGAAATTTGCAAACCAAAAAAAAGTAAAGCAATAACAGTTTTCTCACCAAATAAATTTTGTGATAGGAAAAAAATGACTTTTTTTCTGCTGAGAAGTCTAGGGGAATTTTTTTTTTCACATTTGCTAATATTTATGTAAACACTTGCAAGTCATGATACAATCACAGAAGGAAAAATATATGAAAATATTTAGTATTTCATTGTATTCATCTACATATAAAACCAATTCAAATTGTCACTGGATTAGTAGGTTTGAAACTTTTCTGACTGTATTGAGCATAATCTTACTACTATACCACATAAATTTTTGATTACAGGTAATTCATTCTCATTTTTAAAATAATTTACTTGGTCAGGAGCGCGTTGCTTTGCTGGCGTCTGTGATCAGCTGGAGATGGTGGTGAACAGCCTGATTGCATTTCTTGGAAGATCTTTTATTCTGCTGCTCAGCCCTGGTCTCTTCCTTCCTTATAGACAGAGGCTCATCCATCAGTTTCCCTGGAGAATGGCCTGCAGCCTCCCACTCAGGCCTTGGCTGTGCTCATCTAGTCCCTTCCATGGCTGGAAGGGGTGTCCCTGGTGATCCACAAAGGTGTCCCAGCAGTGCTTAAACTCACCGTATTTCATCATGGAAATTGGGGCCCTAGCTCTGTCCAGCCTGCGCAGGCCCTTTTTATACCCTCGTTGACGATCATTTATGCGGGCAGCGAAGATGCGCAGGTTCACGTGTGGGTTCTCTTGAAGGAATTCAGCCACCTTCTCAGCACAGCTGAAGCAGGGGCTCCAGGAGATGAAGCAGGTGACCCTGTAGCGCTGGGCCAGGTCCAGCTTCCAAAAGGAAATCAGGTCCAGGAGGCACAGCTCTGCATGGCAGCCTTCAGGGAAACCAGGATTATTTGAAGCCTCGTTGAGTATGAAGCCCCTGTGCTGGTGCAGCGGGACCCAGGTGCCATTGTGCAGGTGCTCCACCTTGTAACACAGGTAGGTCTGGTGCCATCCAAGGACCGAAGGGTCGTTGGTAAAGTTGTAAGTGAATGTGCCTGGATCCATCAGGTGTCTGAGAACTTCCCCCAGTGTGATGTGCAGTAATGTATAATGTTTAGGCAGCTTATTCCAAGGCTTGTACAATCTTTGGTTGTCCACGAACTTGTCCCAACAGTGTTGAAATTCACCGTAACTCATGATCTTCATGGTGGCATGAGGACTGTCTCTCCTCTGACACAGTCTTTGAAGCTCCTCCCGGTAATGTGGGTCCCAGAAGTAGTAGAGGTGGGCCACGAAGATGGTCAGGGTGACCTTCCTGTCCTCAGCCAGGAACTCGGCCACATTCCTTGCACACACTGGGCAGGGGCTCCAGGACACAAACCAGGTGACCTCGTACTCCTGGTCACTATGCGGCTTCCACTTTCAGAACCAATGGAGGAATCTCATCTCTGGGTGGTGTTGAGGCTTCAAATAGACCTGGCCTTGAAAGATCTTTGCAACCAAAGGAGGCCTTGAGCGGTCGTTTGTTTTCATTTTCACTTTGTAGCACAGCCAGACGGTGTTCCAATGAGAAAGGATGGGTCTATCGTAAAAGTTGTAGAAGAATGTGCCTGGATCCATTCGCACCACCATATTTCTGGTCTGAGGCTTCATCTGTGGCCAGCTAGTCCCAACCATCATCTTTGTCTCTAAGGGAATTTTTAAAAATTTAAATAAAAAATAGATTTTGGGGGATGGGGAATGGAGTCTCTCACTCTGTTGCCCAGGCTGGAGGGCAGTGGCGTGATCTCATCTCACTGCAACCTCCACCTCCCAGGTTCAAGCAATTTTCCTGCCTTAGCCTCCTGAGTAGCTGGGATTACAGGCACGCACCACCATGCCCAGCTATGTTTTTGTATTTTTAGTAGACACGGGGTTTCACCATGTTGGCCAGGCTGGTCCTGAACTCCTGACCTCAAGTGATCTACCCACCTCTGACTCCTGGGATCACAGGCGTAAGCCACCATGCCTAGCCAATAAATAGATATTTTTTAATGTTTCTAAATGTTTGTTCATAAATACAATTTTCCAAAAAAAAAAAAAAACTCATGAATGTTACTTATCATGCAATGGTTTATCATTGCTATTTTAAGTGAGTTAAAAATAGTTTTGAAGACCATCCTGGTCAACATAGTGAAACCCCGTCTCTACTAAAAATACAAAAAAATTAGCTGGGCATGGTGGCGCGTGCCTGTAATCCCAGCTACTCAGGATGCTGAGGCAGGAGAATTGCCTGAACCCAGGAGGCGGAGGTTGCAGTGAGCCAAGATCACGACACTGCACTCCAGCCTGGGTAACAAAAGCGAAACTCCATCTCAAAAAAAAAAAAAAAAATAGTTTTGAGGCTGGGCGTGGTGTCTCATGCCTGTAATCCCAGCACTTTGGGAGGCCGAGATGGGTGGATCACCTGAGGTCAGGAATTCGAGACCAGCCTGGCCAACATGGTGAAACCGCATCTCAATAAAAAAATAAAAAATAAATAGTGTTAAAAATTCTCAGGTTTAATTTTTTTAATAGACTTTATTTTTTAGAATAGTTTTAGATTTACAGAAAAAAATTAATCCAATGGTAGAGAGAGTACCCGTATGCCTTACACACATTTTCCTTTATTTAAAAATGGTATGGCACATTTGTTATAATGGATGAGCCAATAATGGCACATTGTTATTAACTAAACTCCACAGTTGACCATATTTCCTTTGTTTTTACCTAATGTCCCTCTCCATTTCAGTATCTCACCCCAAATACCTTAATACATTTAGTCATCACTTCCATTTAGGCTCTTGGCTATGTGACTGTTTCTAACTCTCCTTGGTTTTGATGACCTTAACAGTTTTCAAGAACCCTGGTCAACTGGGATTTTTCTAAATCCAATGTATACTGGTCAAACCAATGCTACTCAGGAGGCTAGGTGGGAGCATGGCTTGAGCTCAGGAGGCAGAGACTTCACTGAGCCAAGATCTTGCCACTGTACTCCAGCCTGGGCAACAGAGCCAAACCTTGTCTCCCTCCCCTAAAAGGAGGAAGTTATCTCCATCTTCTGGACAGGATATGTTCAAAAATTTTTTTGGAATTCTTTTGCATGGAAGATTTGTCTCTTTTCCCCCACATTTGTTTATTCAATCATTTACTTATAACAGTATGGACTCATGAATGTTTATATTGGCTTGTCTATTAACCTAATACCATTTTATTTTGTGGTTCACATTGTTTCAGCTTTGTCCACTGGGAGCTCTTTTAGGTGACATACTCTAATCATAGTGTGTGTGTGTGTGTGTGTGTGTGTGTGTGTGTGTGTGTTTAGTACTTCTTTACTTTGGGGCACTACAAAATGCTCTAAGTTCATCTTGCCCCAGTCCTACAATTAATCATTCTCCAAAGAGCCTTGGTTCCTCTTATTGGAAAATGGTAGCAAAAATCAATATTTGGGCTGCATGCAGTGGCTCACACCTGTAACCCCAGCACTTTGGGAGGCCGAGGCGGGTGGATCACAAGGTCAAGAGATCAAGACTATCCTGGTCAAAATGGTGAAACTCCATCTCTACTAAAAATACAAAAAAATTAGCTGGATGTGGTGGCATGTGCCTGTAGTTCCAGCTACTTGGGAGGCTGAGGCAGGAGAATTGCTTGAACCCAGGAGGTGGAGGTTGCAGTGAGCTGAGATAGTGCCACTGCACTCCAGCCTGGCGCCTGGTGACAGAGCAAGACTCTGTCTCAAAAAAAGAAAAAAGAAAAAAAAAAACCCCAGTCATTTCTTGGTTTCTTGGGGTATTGGTTTCAGGATCCCTCTGGAAACCAAAATCCATGATGCTCAAGTTCCTCAAATAAAATGGTATAGTATTTGCATATAACCTATGAACATCCCCCTGTATACTTTTTTAAAAACTTTTTTGTTTTAATTTTAATTAATTAATTAATTAATTAATTTTGAGACAGGGTTTCCCTCTGTCACTCAGGCTGAAGTACAGTGGTGTCATCATGGCTTACTGCAACTTCTACTTCCCTGGCTCAAGTGATCCTCCTACCTTAGCCTCTGAGCAGCTGGACCACAGAGGCTCACCACCACACTCAGCTAATTTTTTTGACTTGTAATAAAGATGGGGTTTCACCATGTTGCCCAGGTTAGTCATAGACTCCTGGGCTCAATTGATCTGCCTGCCTCAGCCTTCTAATGTGCTGGGATTTCAGGTGTGAGCCACAACACCCCACTCCCACCATATACTTCAAACCATCTCTAGATTACTTATAATACGTAATACAATGTAAATGCTACGTAAATAGCTGGTATTCTGTATTGTTTAGGGAATAAAGACAAGAACAAAAAGTCTGTATGTGTTCAATACAGATGTAGCCATCCATTTTTTTTCTGATTCCTAGTTGGTGGAATCCACAGATGCAGCACTCATGGATATAGAGAGTCAACTCTATACATATGTTTACTAGCACATCTATATACACATATCTATAAATATTTCTATATGTAACCATCTATATATATATTAAGCTAAATATGAATTAATACCTATGTGGTGCCTCAACTCTAATCTATTACTACATGAATCATTCTACCCTCCTCCCTTTACTTATTATAAACTCCCACTCCACCGGGCGTGGTGGCTCACGCCTGTAATCCCAGCACTTTGGGAGGCCGAGGTGGGTGGATCACTTGAGGTCAGGAGTTCAAGGCAGCTTGGCTATCGTGGTGAAACCCCACCTAAAAAAAAAAAAAGAAAAAAAAAAAACAACTCCCACTCCAACAATAAGATACTTGGTTCCCACCATATACCAAACATTTCCTTCATTATTTAATTGCAGTATACATGTATAACAGTATCATAATTGTTAACCTACTTCCCCATGAGAAACAACTTTATTAACTAGAGTACAGTGCATATGTACATTTCTTTTCGCCTTTAGTCTTACAAATTCCACTCATTCCCAAATGAGTACCTTTTTTTCTACATCTTCTTTAGTGAGATTGTTTCATACATTATAATACAGTTAGATTATTTTGACACATTTTGTGTTCCAGCCGGGATCTTCCTACTCTTAAATGATTTATTTTAATGTGCATACATTAAGGGTCATTCTGTGTACTATAAAATAGTTTGATGAGTATTGGCAAATGCACAGGGTCACGTATCCACAATTACAGCATCATACAGAATAGTTTCTGGCTGGGCACGGTGGCTCATGCCTGTAATCCCAGCGCTTCAGGAGGCCAAGGCAGGCAGATCACTTGAGGTCAGGAGTTGGACACCAGCCTGGCCAACATGGTGAAAACCCAACTCTACTAAAAATACAAAAATTATCCAGGTATAATGTCATGCACCTGTAGTTCCAGCCACTCAGGAGGCTGAGGTAGGAGAATCATTTGAATCCTAGAGGTGGAGGCTGCAGTGAGCCAAGATTGCGCCACTGCACTCCAGACTGAGCGACAGAGTGAAACTCAGTCTCAAAAAAAAAAAAAAAAGAAAAAGAAAAAAGAACAGTTTCACCACCCTAAAAAAATCGCATCCTTCACCTATTCATTCTTCTCCCTCCCCTCAATCCTCTTGCAACCACTGATCTTTTCACTATTGCTATAATATTGCCTTTTCCAGAATGTCATATAACTAACATCATACAGTATGTAGACTTTTCAGACTGACTTCTTTCACTTACCAAATGCATTTAAGGATCATACATGGCTTTTTATGGCTCAAGAATTCATTTCTTTTTATTGCTGAATAATATTCCATCATATGGATATGCCACAGTTTATTCATTCAACTATTGAAAGATATCTTTGTTGCTTCAGTTTTTGGAGTTAGAAATAAAATTACTATAAACATTTGTGTGTAGGCCAGGCATGGTGGTTCATGCCTGTAATCTGTAATCCCAACACTTTGGGAGGCTGAGGAAGGGAATCCCTTGAGGCCAGGAGTTAAAGACCAGTGTGGGTGAAACAGTGAGACCTTGTCTCTACTAAAAATGTTTTTAAATTAGCTGGGCTTTTTGGCATGTGCCTGTGTTCCCAACTACATGGGAGGCTGAGGTGGGAGGATTGCTTGAGCCCAGGAGGTTAAGGCTAAAGTAAGCTGTGACTACACCGCTGCATTCCAGCCTGGGTGACAGAGCAAGACGCAGTCTCAAAAAGAAAAAAAATCTAGTTCTTACAAGCAGTATTTCAAAGGTAATTTTCAGTGTTTTATTTCCATAATAATTATATCTGCTGTGTAAAAGACTTATACTTTCAAATAATTTTAATATTTAAATCACTGGAAAGAGAAAACCAGGCAGTGGGCTGGGTGTGCCATATCTGCATTACATTATGCTAATTTGTTTTACAATGGTGTTTCAAATTTTTCTCAGGTCTGCCACCATATAATTATTGTTAATAACATGTTACATTTTGGGACTCATTTGCCAAACATTTACTGAGTGCTTGTGCAAGAGAAAGGAAGGGAAAGTGACATTCATTATTCTATTCAACACATATTTATTGAGCCTATATTGCAAAGAGTACTTTGCAAGAAGACTGGGATACAACTTTAGACAAAACCTATATAGTCTCTGTCCTCAGGGAGTTTACAATCTCATTAAAGAATGAATCTTTAAACAGTTACTCTATT